CAACCTTGACGCGGCTCGGTCTCGCTTTGTCGTCGCTCATGAGAAGCACATCCATGGGGACAGCAAACAGTGGGTTGATGTCGAGGCGGATGAGGTAGATCTGGGAAAGGGCATCATCGAGAATGAGGACAAGCCGAAACTCAACACTAAGTGGGAACATTGGCTCGGTCTAGTGCAACATGGCTCCCCGAAAAGTCTCCGACTCATTCGTCTTGATCCACCTGCCACGAAGGCGAGGTCACCCGGACCAGGGCCAATTCGCAAGCGGGACTGGAAGCCAATTGGGAAACAGTTCCTCGAGGGCCGCCGCATCGTCTTACACACTGATGGTGCCAGAGCATACAAACTAAAACTCAACTTGGTCGAGCACTGCAATGTGGTGCACAAGACGAAGAAAGTGAAAGTTGGAAAGAAAGCAGTTTGACTCGGAACAGTGTTTGCTGACGATATACATAAGCTTAATGTCATAAACCCGCCCAACAATATTACTAGACGCGAGTTAGTCAACGTAGAAATGTTGTCTTGTAATAGGACAATATGACAATATGACAGCTCAGGTGGTGTGGAAGAAACCTCACTTCACCAAAGTGTATCGTTTGAGACTTCCTGGTGGGAAGACACTCCGCGTCAAAAGCGGCGCCCAAGTGATCGACCGATGCTGGCAGCACATCCGGACACACTTGAAGTACACGAAGCAACGAAGTCATGACAAGGAAAATTCGTAGTGCTCAGTGGCGGTACTGGCAGAAGGGCCGAAGCCTGTGGATCGCAACAGGCGAGCTCTTTCCACGGTCCTAATAGGATGCCGGCGTCTAGACATCATCACAAAAGCGCGGGGTCTTGTGCCCCACACACGCAGGTCACCTGTCGACGGAGCATGAGACAACAAAAGGGTGCCTCGCAAGGTTTAAAACATGTCGCCCGAAACAACATGAGCCTCCAAGCATGCTGACACGTCCTGCTTCGAAAGAAAACCGTCCACTGGACAGCGACATGTAAAGCTGAACGGTTCTGGCCCGAGAGAGGTCTGAGGCAAAACCAAAAAACCCAAAAAACCAACTTTTTGCGAGAAAGGGGAGGGGATGTTAAATCAGATGGTATTTCTGGTTTTACCTCGTCAAAAGATGGTTTTGCATCCAATTTTTCCCTCGCAGAAAGATTGTTTTCCTTAAGAACACCAAGCCAAAACCATCTTCTTACGAGGGGAAAGTTGGTTTTATCTGAAAAACCATCTTTTACGAGGCAAAACCAGCAAACAAAAAACACATCTTTTTTAGAGAATGGGGGGGATTTTAAAAAAAATGTTTTTTGGTTGTACCACGTAAAAAGATGGTTTTTCATATAAAAACCAACTTTTCCCTCGTAAAAAGATTGTTTGGGAGACAAAAAGCAACTTTTACCTCGTAACAAGATGGTTTTGGAGCCAAAAACCAACGTTTACCTCGCAACTGAGGCAGACCAGGCCAAAACCATCTGTTTACGTGGGAAAAGTTGGTTTTTCTATGAAAAATGCATTGCTAAAGGGTTTTAGCATAAGTTAGCTCGGGCACTTGAGCTTTATCTCCTCAGCCTGCCAGCGGCTCAGAAATGCAGGATTTCACAAGTAGGGCTAACCATCTTTTTACGAGTTGGGTTTAGGGTTTTAAAGGGTTTAGGGTTTAGGGTTATAGGGCTTTGGGCTTTGGGTTTTGGGTTTAGGTTTTAGGGTTCCAAAAAATACTCCACATAAATACATATGTACATATATACATATGTATATCTATCTATCTATCTAGCTACCTATCTCTCTCTCTCTATCTCTCTCTCTCTTTCTCTCTCTCTCTCTCTCTCTCTCTCTCTCTGTCGCGGTCTCTCTCCCTAAACCCTCGACCCTAAACCCTAAACCCGAAACCCTATAAAGATATACATATGAGTAAAGGTATACTAGTATCAGTAGTTATATATATATATAAATGGACACCCCCCCCCCCCCCCCCCTGACCTACCCAGATCTGTTTCCCTCGTAAATACCGTTTAAAACCCGCTCGTGCCCTATGCCTATTTTTGCTACTCTCAGTGTCTGTCTCTCGAGAAAACAGACGCCGACACGGGCAAAACCAAAAAACCAAAAAAAACAACTTTTTTTAGAGGATGGGGAGGGGATGCTGAAAAAGATGTATTTTTTGGTGTTGCCTCGTAAAAAGATGCTTTATCTGTCTGTCTCTCTCAGAACTAGGATGCCAAGTAGTACCCTTATTCCCTTTTTTTGGGGGGGGGGTTAGGTTCCCTATAAACCCCTTTAAGCAAAAAAGGGCACCCTTTTTAAGCCTAGGTTACTGGGAAGCCTAAACCCTCGACCCTAAACCCTAAACCCATCGGGTTAGAGTTTTGGGGTTTAGGGTTTAGGGTTTAGGGTTTAGGGTTTAGGGTGTAGGGTTTATCTCTTTATCTGTCTGTCTCTCTCACAACTCAGCAGGAGCGTGAGCAGGCTTTGGCCGCCTCCCCGGAGGCAGCTGAGCGTGGGGGGACCTTGCGAAGGGTTCCGCAACTTCGGAGGTTTCGGGTTTAGGGTTTCGGGTTTAGGGTTTAGGGTTTAGGGTTTAGGGTTGGGAGGTTTAGGGTTGAGGGTTTGGAGTTGTGGGTTCAGGATTGGGATGTTCTGGGTTTAGGGGTTGTTGGTTGGGGTTTAGTTGTTTTTTATCTCTTAGGTATTTGGGGCTCAGGGTTTATGATGCTTCTGCGCGGGGGGGGGGGGGGTTAGGCTTAGCTAGGGGTTGTTTTTTCGTTTTGGTTTGGAGTTTGAACTTTTGGCATTTGGGGGTTTCGAGTTGGGGGTTTGTGTGTGTGTGTGTAGTGTTTGTGGGTGTGTGTGTGGGTGTGGGTGTGTGTGTGTGTGTGTTTTCTGGTCGGTTTCGGGTTTCGGGTAAGTTTAGGGTCTTTCACTGGGGTTTTGAGTTTTGGGTTTGTTTTTGTTTTTTTTTGGTTTTGGTTCCGTTGGACTTGCGTCGGATCTCGTAAGAATGCGAATCGGAGATGCTACCAATCAAGCGCTCGGTCTGATGACAGTATCATCATCGACTACTTGCTCTAGAGCCCTAAAACCCTAAACCCTAAACCCTAAACCCTAAACCCTAAACCCTAAACCCTAAACCCTAAACCCTAACCCCCCAAAGAATCAAGACTCTTTGATGGTCGGCAACTTTACGGACGGCTTAAGGGTTTGGGGGTCGGGATGCAAACCCCTTCTCTTAGTAGTAGAGTAGCTAACCTTTAATCTTTTTGGGTTAATATATTCCCCTTATATTCCCAAAGGTTAACCTTTAAAACCCCTAGGTACTGGACAACTAAGTTCTACTAACAGTCTTAAAATAACAGGGGTGCTAGCAACGCCCTGTGATCATCTCTATTACTTGGAGGTTCATGGGTACTTATACCCCCAATTGTAAGTCCACTTATAACCTACTTAGAGGACTTAGGGGACTTAGGGGGCTTATACGTGCAGTTATAATTGGGGTTATACGTACCCTGAACCTCCAAGTAAGGACTGTTAGTATAAGGGGGGGCATCCCAAGTTTTGCGGTTTAGTGGAAGGTTTAGTGGTCCAATCTCATCCAAGACACTTCGTAGAAGCTCCGCCCGTTTAGGGTTTAGGGTTTATAAGGTTTATAGGGTTTATAGGGTTTATAGTAAGTTTATAGGGTTTATAGGGTTTATAGGTTTTATGGTAAGTTTATAGGGTTTGTAGGGTTTATGGGGTTTATAGGGTTTAGGGGTTATATAGGGTTTAGGGTTCAGGGTTCAGGGTTCAGGGTTGCGTCTTGGGGGTGCGAAACCAGTGGCAAAAGAAACAAGAACCTAACGGCAACGCCGGCAGAACAACTAACGAACTTTTCCCTTGCATGGCCTCCGGCCCCCCCACCTTGCAATCGCCATTGTGCAGTGTGCTCAGGTCCATAGGTTGGGAACCTAGATATGATATGATGTGATCAGCCCGAAATCCTGAACCTTACAGCCCAAGGGACAATGTAGGGTGCACGGCCCCTACACCCCAAATCCCAAACCCTAAGCCCCAAACCCCAAACCTTAAACCCTAAACCCTAAACCCTACATCCTCAAACCCTAAACCCTAAACCCTAAACCCTAAACCCTAAACCCTAAACCCTAAACCCTAAACCCTAAACCCTAAACCCTAAACCCTAAGCCGGTTTTGAGCAGCGGGCCAGCAACTGAGTTCAACCGAGGTGCGTCCGTGCACCACCAGCTCAATGACTGCATGTACTGGAAGCCCGGGCCTTACAAGAGCCTGGGTTTAGGGTTCAGGGTTCAGGGTTTAGGGTTCAGGGTTTAGGGTTTAGGGTTTAGGGTTTAGGGTAGGGTTCAGGGTTTAGAGTTTTGGGTTTATGGGTTCATAGGGTTTAGGGATGAAACGCTTTGCAGTGTGTATAGGGTTTATAGGGTTGATAGGTGGTTCCCAAGGACCAAGAGAAAAAGAGGCCGGAACGCGTGGGAGTGCCAGCTTTCGCATGTTTGGGTCCCAAAAACCTCAAAACGCGGACTCCCCCACATCCTGGGTTCCTGGGTGTGTGGCTCCTATAGGGGAGGCTGGAACGTCAGTGGGAGTACACGTTTTAGCATGTTTGGGTCCCAAAAACCCTCGGTTTAGAGCACTCTAAACACCCTAGTGCCGAAGCCCAGGGACCCTGGCCGCACCAGTTTTGGACAAGATTGAGCCGACCCTAAACCCTAAACCCTAAACCCTAAACCCTAAACCCTAAACTGCTGGTGTGCTCACGTTTTTCCAGGAAGAGAGAGAAGTACATGTCGCTGTGAAGCGGTCCAAGCCCGGTGAAGGGCAAAACGAGGCCCGTGAAGGGCAAAGAAGCACATGGCCCGGAGTGGGCACGCAACACAGTTTTGTTTCATGTACAAGGCATCGCAGGTATAGCACCTGAACGAGTAAGGCCAAGGATTTCGTGTCGTTGCTGTTGTGGAAGGAAAAATTCGAGTGAACTCTGTGAGCCATGGCCAACCCCTCAGACTCCATGCCTCCTGGGACCTCCGACCAGGAGGTTATGAGCCCAAGTGGTGCTCGCCCTACTTCGCCGAGAATGACAACAACAGCTGCGGGGCCCGAGAGGGGCCAACCGGGGGTCGTAAGACCAGCTTTGGACGGTGGAGAGGCTCATGGAGCCCAACCGGAGGCCGTAAGGCCGGATGGTGCGCTGGAAGCTGGCGGCACTGGTGTGGCTGGAAGTGTGGATGGAGCAATGGTTTCTGGAGATAGCATGGACTCTGGGCATGGTACAAGTGGTCAAGTGGCAAGAGTTCAGGCCTTGGCGCTGGCTTCTGGAGCGGTGGTTGCAGGTGGCATGCAAGCTGTGGTGGCCTCAACCTCAATGACGAGGGAGGTGGAGCCGGCCGGTGAAGCTGGGGACATGGGCATGCTGCGTGATGGCCTGAATAGTGGAGGGCATCCACAACCTGGAGGTTTCAGCTGGAATGCGCAAGGCAGTCCGATGGGAAGAGAGGCACAACCGCGTGGTGTGATGCCGACCTGGGTTTCTCGCCTGGGAGCTTTCTTCCAGGCTATGGGGCAGTCACAGCAGGTGACACCCCCGGAGTGGATGCCGAGTCCCTTTCCATCGCCTATGACGAGACCGTCGAGATCGCAGAGGGCATTGGAGTCACCTATGTCGCAGGGGGAACGGGATGAGGCATCGAGGACGCCTTTGTTTGATGATGAGCAGAGGCAACAGATGAGGGCAATGGAGCAGCGAGCTCCACTGCTGTATGGTGCCACCGGGGTGGGACCGAGGCCTATGGATGGTGGTGGCAGTTCTGGAGGAAGCGTGCGTCAGCAGCTACAAGGACAACTGCAAGGGATGATGAGGGAGTTGGAGGAGTCGAAAAGGGAAGCAAGTAGCTTGAGAGAAGAGATGGGAAGGATGCAATTGGAGCGAGAACGCATGGGAGAAGGGCAGTGGCCACATGCAGCAAGGTCTCGTCCTGGGCAGGGATGGGGCCAACACTTGTGGAATGGTCTGGTGGGGGCCTTGCCGGGTCCGTCGGGCCAACTTGGGCCACGAGGCAATCCTGGTGCGCTACATCCAGTTCAGCAAGGAGCTTTCCCCGAATCTCAAGGCAATCCTGGTCCGCTACCTCCAGTTCAGCAAGGAGCTTTCCCCGAATCTCGAGGCAATCCTGGTCCGCTACCTGGGAGAAGTTTAGATGGCTCACCTCCAGTTCAACAAGGAGCTTCCACCGAATCTCGAGGCAATCCTGGTCCGCTACCTGGGGGAAGTTTAGATGCTTTACGTCCAGTTCAGCAAGGAGCTTCCACCGAATCTCGAGGCAATCCTGGTCCGCTACCTGGTCGTTTTTTGAATGGTCAGAGTGACGCAGCAGGAGGTCGTTTTGGCTTTATGCCACATGGTCAGAGTGACGCAGCAGGAGGTCAAGAGCAGCCGTTGGTCTATCCACGAGGTCCACCACAAGTTCTGGGAGGGCACCTTGGTCAATCAGGAGGTGCTGTGCAATCAAAACAACCACCGGCTGTGGCATCTGCAGAGGCACTGCCGGAGTCGGGAGGAGAAAGGGGGCAGCCGTCACTTGGTCCTGGAGGTGATCCCATGAGCAGGCTGTTGGAAGGTTTGGAGCGGGTGATTACGAAGTCCCAGAGAACCGAGGATGTGCACAAGCCGGTGGGAGACATTCCGATGCTTCCCGCCTTGAGTGATAGCGCGAGCGTGGACTTTGGGGACTGGCTCCACTGCCTGGAGCACGCTATGGGAGACCTCTCAACTTCGTCGGCGGAATGGTGGCAGGAAGTAAAGGACTGTGCCAAGGCGTACTATGACTCCTACCAGAAGGCAGATCACTTCAATCGGCTCAACCTAGCACCCTTGGCTTCCCCTGTGCTGCAGGAGGCGAGGTGGCAGCGCGTTGATCGGAGGGCGGCCACGCTCTTGTTGGCATCGACGCCTGAGGACATCAGGCGGGAACTTGTGGCGTCGAGAGTGAGATCTTCGCTGGAAATTCTGAGCCGCTTGATGGTGCTGTATCGCCCGGGATCTGCGATGGAGAAGAGTTCTTTGCTGCGCCACTTGGAGTCGCCGCCAGCGACAAGTACTGCAGCTGAGGCTGTGGATGGTCTGCGCTTGTGGTGGAGGTACTTCCAGAGGGCAAAGGATTTGGGGGTGGTGATACCAGACCCGTCGGTGCTACTTCGAGGTATCGACGTCTTGGTGAAGAAGCCACTGTTGGACCACCATGAGGTGGCCTTTCGTATGAACCTGGTCCGCTACCAACTGAAGGTCGACTTCGTGCCGGTGGAGGACAACGTGAAGGCGGTGCATAAGGCTCTCCTGGCGGAGTTTGAGCAGCTGGCCTCCAGAAAACCAAAGGGGGTGCCGGGCAACAACTCGCCATCGACCACGCCTAACAGTCCTCAGGCCAGACTGAAGGGTCTTGCAGGTGGGGCAGCCAACAACCAACCCAAGGGAGACAGTGCTGGATCTCAAAAACCTTGCAAGTTTTTTGGTGTTACGGATGGTGGGTGTAGACGTGGAAAGGCATGCCGGTTTGTCCATAGTTGGCCGGACCGGGATGCAAAGAGAGAACGGTGCTGGAACTGTGGTGGGAAGGGACATCAATCGAAGGCGTGTCCTACAAGGCCGGCGGAGGGTACTACCACGACTGCATCGGCCTCTACACCTACAACTCCAACGGCAGCGCAAGTGCAGGCGAAGCCGATGCAGCCCGAGACCCAGAAAATGATCAAGGCGGATGATGTGGCCACGGTGATATCGGAGGCGAGTACGATGGCGTCGACTCCTATGGCAACGAGATCTACGCTAGATGACCCCATACCTGGCACGCCTATGGACATGCAACAGATGTTGGAGAATGCGCAGAAAATGGTCAAGTCCTTGATGGAGCACAGCGCCACGATGAAGGTGATGCGTATCACCTCGGCTGAGAGTGAGGAGGTGCGAAGAGCTCAGGCACTGGGAACGTTGCCAGCAGTTAGCAAAATGGGGCTGTTGGACAGTGGGGCTACTCATGCACTACGACCAGGCACTGTGGAGGAGAAGAAGAAGGCCGCGAAGGTGGAAGTTGCGCTGGCTGGGGACACCAAGATTGAGTTGCCTCAGTCGGACAAGGGAACGATCTTGGGGGACAACCAAGCTCAACCAATTGTGCCCCTTGGAACCCTTGTTAGACAGCTGGGGTATGAGTTCGTCTGGAACGCGCGCGGATGCAGATTGAGACACCCCAGCCGACCTGAAGTACAAGTCTACACGCGGTCGTCGTGCCCGGAAGTCCGAGAGTGTGATGCTTTGAGGCTCATTGCGGAGTTGGAGGGCACCAAGGCCGACGAGGCGCTGAGGACCATGCAGGAACTGGAGACGTCGATCAAGGTGGCAAGGTCGCATGAGGGAAGGAACTGGGCGGATTTCTTGAAGGACTACGTCGTAACGGGGGATCCCTCCGATGGTCTGCGAGCCGTTCTGAGCGCGGAGTTCATGTCGGACGTGCCGTTTGAGGACAAGATCCGGATCTTCGAGAAAATCCCGCAGAGCAACGAGGAAGCCTGGAAGTTGATGAAGTCGCTCCCATTGAATCGCGCAAGACGGAGATCCTTGTGGGCAAGCCGCCGATGGATTGTGCACTTGTTCTCCGGGAAGGGGGAATCCTCAGATCCGATCAAGACCTTGACTGGGTGCAGAGTTCAGGGTCCACGGGGTGAAACACGTGAGGCATCTATGGCAGAAGTGCTGGAGATTGACCTTACCCAGTCCAAATCGTGGGACATCGGAACCAACGGCGGCATCTTCGCGCTGCTCTTGTGGGCGGCCTCACAGGGGAAGATACATGCCATTGTGGGGGGACCACCTTGCAGGACCTTTTCCCTTCTACGACATCGCGAATTGCAGGGGCGTAACAATGCACCACGGCCGGTGAGGTCGGCGCAACATCTCTGGGGTCTTCCTGGGCAACTGACAAGGGATGAAGAGGCACTGGTGAGAGGCGACAACAACCTGATCTTGCGCATGGTGTGGTTGTGGTTGGTTGCAGAAACGGGCTTGGATATGTGCTACCCGAGAAGGGACAGGGGTCCGGCAGTGGCGTTCGGCATGGAGCACCCTGACGATCCGCGCGAGTTCTTGCAACCCGGGGCAGTGTCCAATGAGGTCATGGAGAAGTGTGCGTCGTTTTGGAGAACGAAGTTGGTCGAGCACATGAATAACAACGGCATGAACATGTACCGGTTTGATCAGGGCGCACTTGGGCATCCTCAGAGGAAGCCAACGGGGTTGCTCACTACCATGGAGTTGGACGAGCTCAGTGGCTTGAAGGACACGAGACGTGAATGGCCGGAACCTGGGAATTCGAAGGACATGGCTGTTTGGGCTCCGGGACTACGAGAAGCACTGGCGAAGGGGATCAGAAGATGGGCATGGAGAGGCGAAATTTCTGTGGCGATGAACACCTTCACTCCGAAGCAGCTGGAAGAATGGCGGCGTCACGTTGAAGCGGGGCATTGGCCATTTAGGAGAGATTGCTCGGTGTGTTTGTCGGCGGCGGGAACGGGGCGACCGGCGAGAAGAGTGCTTCACAGAGACGCCTACGTCTTGAGCCTGGACATTGGTGGCGCGTTTGCAGAAAAGGGAATAGACGAGCGGAACGACAACGGGAGGGCCAACAAGTACAAGTTCGTTTTGGCAGCTACCTATGTGTTCCCGAAGGCCTTTGATGTGGTCTCCAAGGACATGCCGATCCCTGATGACATCGATGAGTACCTGGGCCAGGAGGAGGTGGATGAGGAAGGTCCTGAACCAGAAGCAGCTGAAGAGGAGGTGGAAAGGAAGGAGGACAAGGACCATGAGGAGGAGTGGAAGAGATTGGTGGGGGACCTAAACAAACCACAAGAATTCCAGGTCCTCAGGTTCGCGGTTCCTCTCGCCAAGCACAAGGGTGCGGACATCCTCGCGGCAGTCCAAGACCTTTACATCTACCTCAGGGCCAATGGATTTCCACTGGCCAGGATACACTCTGACAGGGCACGTGAGTTCAGGACTAAGCAACTGCGAAGGTGGTGCCGGGAGCGGGACATCTACCAGACTTACACTGAAGGTTTGGCCCCGACGCAGAATGCCATGGCGGAGAACCAGGTGAAGTGGCTGAAGGCTAGGGCGCGTGTGTTGCTCACGGCTTCCGGCTTGAACAAGAAGTACTGGCCCTGTGCAATGAAGCATGCGTGTGCAGCCCACAACACTCGTCAGCTTGGAAAAACAATGACGCCGATTCAGTTCGGGTCCCAAGTGATGGTGAAGACAAAAAGGGATGTGGGGCCTTTCGACCCAAGATGGGAGGAGGCAGTGTACCTGGGTCCGGCCGATGATGTGCGTGAAGGGCATGTACTTGAACTGGCGGATGGAACCTGGCACAGAACGCTGCACATGAGAGTGGTTCGAGATGATGAAGTACCCTCTGGTGGAGATGAGTCATGGGTGGCCGATCGCGTAGATCCAGGACGGCGAGTTCGTGGAAAGAGGCGATTGGAAGATCCAGATGGCCCGGGAGTACGTGTGCTACAAGAAGGGCAAGAAGATGGAGAAGAAGAGATTGCGGAGCAAAGGGCCCACGACAAACTTGAATATAACAAGTACGAAGACGAGGATGCGTTGGAGATCGTCCGAGCACTTCGGTTGACAAGTGGTCCGAAAAGGAGGGGGACACAGGACTTTGATTGGTGTGGGAGTTGGAGTACGGGGGCCTACGTCCACGGAGGAGTCTGGGGCGTGCAAACCAACACGACCAAGTTCCCCAAGGTCACCCGTTTCCTCACGACTTTTCTCAGAAACAAGATGAAGGAGCCAATGCCTTTCGGAACCATCGTCGTGAATGTGAACCAGGAGCTACTACCACATCGTGACCTACACAACGAGCGAGAGTTCGCGAACTCAGTGTATGGCATGGGTGACTTTTCTGGAGGAGAAGTGTGGGAGCAGACGTACCTGGAAGAAACACGGCGCTGGATGTGTACAGGGCAACAACCAGGGGATTGGTGCGTGGAAGAACCATGGATGTGAAGGGAAAGATCCAAGCCTTGTGGGCTCACAGGTGGCACGCGACGATGCCATGGACAGGAACCCGAGTCACCGTGGTGGGCTACGTTCCAAGGAAGTTCAAGAATGTGGGATCTGAGAACTACAACCTCTTGCGGGACATGGGTTTCATGGTGCCTGTTGGGGCAGATGAGGAGGAGGAAGACGATGTTCAGGAGCCGCAGCAGAAAGTATTGCAGGGGAACGACATCGAGAAGGGTGGTGGTTGGAATGAAAGTGTTCATGTACCCGGGGGACATGTGGAGCTGGGAGTGCACTGGACAATGAAGTTTGTGCGTGAAGGGGATGGAGGCGAGGGTGAATTGAGCGCAACACCAACGTTCCCCGTCCAGGACCATGTTCGTGAAAGAGTACAAGAACGACTTCTATGGGCACGAGAACTGCTGGAGGAAGAAAGGGAGATATGGGAAAGACAAGAGAGGCAGACGGGCATTGTGGATGAGCATGTGAAGACCGTCATCGACAACTTGGAAGAGACCGTCGCCTACATGGAGTTCTATCTCATGCAGGACAACCAAGCTCATGTGGATGAAGTTCGCTTAAAAATGCTGCGTGTGAACAAGGTTTCGGTGGAGGAAGCGGTGACCCAGAATGTGGAGCAGCTGCTGCAAGGACTTGAAGGGCCCTTGGAAGTGGTGCACAATGTCAGCCTGCAGGAGGTAAGAGAGCACTTGACCGACTGGGTGCCGAGCATGAAGAAGGAGGTCGCAACGCTGGAAACATCCGGGACTTTGAGACCAATACCTCTGTCGCAGGCAAAGCGGCAATCTGAAGCGGGTGAGTTGATCTTGGTGCCGGGCAAAACTGTGTTCACGGTGAAGCCGCCGGAGGATGTGCATCAGAGCAAATACAAACGGAAAACCCGTTTCGTAATATGCGGGAATTTTGTCAAGGATGGTGACACCACCGAGCTCTACACCGCGAATGCGAAGGCCGAGAGTGTGAGATGTTCATTGGCGACTGCGGCGAGCCGAAACTGGGAAGCGGCTGGAACGGACATTAACAGCGCCTTCACCTTGACGCCGATGACGGAGAGTGCTACGCAGTATGCGGTGACGGCTCCAAAGATCCTGGTGGAAGCTGGTGTGGTGCCCCCGGGAACAGCGTACAAGGTGGACCGAGTCTTGTACGGCTTGCGAGAGGCTCCTCGTCTGTGGGGAATCTTTCGAGACAGGCGGATTCGCAACGCACGCCTGACGGTGGAGGGACGCGACATGAAGTTCACGCAGCTTGAAACGGACGAGTCGGTGTGGCGTTTGCATCCGGTGGATGATCCACAGGAGACCATCGCGATGATGGTGGTTTATGTCGATGACGTGTTGTTCCTCGGCAAGCGGGCCCACATCGAGGAGATGTACTCATGGCTGGTGAATGGAACTGAGGAGGAGGGCGCTGGATGGAAATGCAGTCCGCTGGAGTTTGTGGGAAAGGACCCTGTGCGCTACCTGGGAATGGAGATACGCAGCAAGATGAAGGACGGAGGGATCGCCTATCACGTGTGTCAAGGGGGCTACATTGGAGATCTCTTGCGTGAGCATGGTGTGGAAACATGGACTCCGTCGTTGGTACCTGCAACCCGGGAGGCAATGCCACAGGTCCCCGAGCCGGAGGATGGAGCCGAGGAGACAGAGCCGGATCCTTCGGCGGTGCATGCTGCTCAAAAACTGGCTGGAGAACTGTTATGGCTCAGTATGCGGACTCGACCTGACGTGAGCTTTGCTGTGGCTCATGTATGCAGTGCCGCTACCCGAAGTCCTGAGGCTGCGCTGAAACTGGGGCGCATGGTGTTGCGCTATCTTCGTGACACCGTGGACCTCGGCTTGACCTACGATGGCACGGGACCGACTGTGCTGGCTTATTCGGACGCAAGCTATGCGCCGGGAGGCGGACGCAGCTTCGGCTGCGCTGCGACGATGTTGCATGGAGGATTTGTGGCTTGGAGAATGGCACGACAACCCGTGATTTCTCTCTCGGTGGCGGAGGCAGAGTTGTATGAGGTCATCAATGCCTACCAGCAAGCCATGATAACAAACTTTTCGGTTAGCCATGTGCCCCCCTGTAGAAGTATTTTTCCTTGTCGTTTCACTGCTGCCAACAAGGCTCAAGGGACTACTGAACAGACCGTGTCCCAGCAAAAGTGCCCGCTAGTGGTTTCAAGTTCAAGGGTCTGGAACGAACCCTAAATCGTTTTATGGTAGCGGAGCTGAAGGCCTAGACCTTTGGTTCAAAGTGAGCCCAAGAAAGCGCTCTGGAGGAGCGAGGACTGAAGTCCAAAAGAGCCTTGGGCCAGCTACCAAGCGAGCTCCTTAAGGGAGACTGTAAGCGAGGCTGAGAGGAGCCTGGAAGTGAGAAAGAGAAGAAAAGTGTGATGCAAGAAGGAGATCCTGCTGGAGCAGGAGCTCAAGAGCATGGAGGAGACACTCCAAGCGATACTCCAATGGCTAGGCCAGCTGGAGGAGGATTGCCCCCAGGTCTTGGGGGAGCATCGTTTCAAGAAGTGATGGGAAGTTTGGCCGCAGCAGCCAATGCTTTGGCTGGAGCTGCAGGATCTGCAGGATCAGGCCAGAGGAGTTATGACTCAGCAGCAAAGCTGGTAAAGAGTCCAGAAGTGTTTGCTCCAAAGAATTTAGAGGAAGAAGTTTCACAATGGCCAGACTGGAGTTTTAGCTTCAGGGTGTTTGTAGGATTTGTAGATCCTAAGTATGCCGAAGAGTTGGTTAGGGTAGAGTCAGGACCGTTGAATCCGGCTCTGTATTCGCAAGAAGAGAAAGAGAGGAGCATCAAGCTCTATGCGATTTTGGCTTCATATCTGAGGAATCGTCCTCTGAAGTTGTTGAAGTCCGAAGGAAGTCAGGATGGCTACAGTGTGTGGAAGAAGTTGTTTCAGGAGTTGGAGCCGTCGAGCAGAACAAGAGGACTGGCAATGGCTCAGGCCCTCGTTAGTTTCCCAGCGATGACCAAGGGAACTTCCATCCTGGACTACCTGCTCACCTACGAGAAGCTGGTGGGTGAATACGAGAAAGTTTCAGGAGCGAGGTATGATGAGAACCTCAAGATCGGCACGGTGCTGAAAGGATTGCCGAATGAGTTGAGAAAGCATATTCTGGTTGGACTTAGTCCTACTACGAGTTACACGGACATCCGAAGGAAGTTGCTCGAGTACGAGAGGAGCACGCAGTCTTGGAATGCAGAGAACATCTTGCAGTCCTTCAGTATGGAAGGACCAACAAAGCATACGCCGTACAACGGACCTCAAGCGATGGAAGTGGATCGAGTGAAAGGAGGTTACAAAGGAGACAAAGGGAAGTATGGAAAGGAAAGGAACAAAGGAAAAGGTAAAGGAGAGAAAGGAGGAAAGTCCTTTGGAAAAGGAAGATTTACCAACAAAGGAAAAGGAAAAGGAAAATGGGATACTGGCAAAGAGTCCAAAGGAAAAGGAAAAGACAGAAACAAGGGAGTTCGCGCGGTGGAAGGTGGCTACGGGTCAACGAAGTTTCAAGGAAGTTGCTACATCTGTGGCAAGCCAGGACATCGAGCCACGGATTGTTGGCAGAAAGGAGATAAAGGTAAAGGAGGAAAAGGAAAGGTGAGATACGTGGAAGAAGAAGAGACTCAAGGTCAAGGTGACCGAAGCTCTGGGAGCAATGCGAGAGCGAACAACGACGAGAGTGGACAAGTGAGAGTCATCACCGCCTCTGCTGCGAGAATGGTTCGAAGAGTTGAAGAGGTGGAAGACCAGGATGAGGAGCTTGACTTGAATGAAGTGAGCTGGAGAATGAATGAGTTGGAAGTGAGGAGACTCGAAGAGTTCGATCTCACCCTGGGAGATGAAGAGAGCGATGAAGGTGAGATAGACCCTCACGATGAGTTGATGGAGTGGTACGATTCGAAGCAAACAGGCGAAGAAGTTGGCGAAGTGAGAACGCTACAAGATGAGAAGACTGTGAAGAACGTTTGCAAAGAGGTTGAGTCGTGCGAAGTTGTGCTTGACAGCGGTGCGGACTGTCATGTGTTGCCTATGGATTGGGCAGAAGAGGTCGGAGAACCTTCGACTTTCGAGTACCGACTGAAAGATGCACAGGGAAGAGTTATTCCAACACTGCCTGTGAGGCAGCAAGTGAAGTTCGTTTTCTGGAAAGAGTCAGGAAAGAAGTTGGTTATCACAGACACTGCAGTTTGTGGCAACGTTACCCAACCACTGTTCTCGATTGGGAAGATGTGGAAGCTTGGTTGGGGAACTGTAAGCGAAGATGGAAAGTTGTGGCTGAAGAAAGGAACTGTTCGAGTTCCATTGCACTTCAAGAGAAATTCTTCAATGGCGATAATGAGTATCAGTCGTGTTGTGACTGAGGAGATGAAAGTGCAACCTGTGAGGCTGGAAGAGAATCTTAAGAGAGAGCTCCAGCACAATGAGATTGGAGATTCCTGGTTCGTGCTGGAAGATGGAACTCCGGCGCGGTTTGACTGGGATGTGACAAGAACATTCGACCCCACCGGTCATTTCCCGAACCACATGTATGAAGGAGAAGGAAGCGAAGGTGACTATTTCCCGTATCGAACAACCCTCTTGGGGAAGCTTGAAAGAAAAGGAGGCGCAGTTTCTCCACTGAACGAGGTAGACTGGAATTCTCTGGAGTTCTTTGAGTGCTCGGAGGAGTGGAAGGATAGAGAGAACGTATCTCTTGGAAGAACCCCAAACGAGAGGTTTGAAGTGATGATCACTTTGCTGGAGAAAGAGATCAAAGAGCCCAATGCTTATGGAAGCTTTGAAGGACTGAAAGAGAGAGAAAAAGAGTTTGGAGGAGAAAATCAGCCCATGGAAACAGGAGAGACAACCGAAGCGTTGGTTCCGAGACAAGAGGAAAAGAAAGAGCATCGAAGCAAAGGCATTCCGGTACTCCCGGAAGACGAGACAGAAGTAATGCTTATTGGACCTCTGAGGATCACCCCGACAAGCGAACTGAAGGAGATGAAGGAAGCTTGCAAGTACTTGTATTTGTCAAAGAACGGCTCGAAAGGAGTCCTGTGGCAGAGACTAAAGAAAGAGGTGGCGACGAACAAGCTGAAGGCGACAGTGCAAATCTCAGAGGACATCAGAAAAGAGTTTGAAAGAGATCCTATCCCAGAAGCACTACCTGCGCTCCCGAGCCAGGAAGAGATCGAGAAGCATGAGTTGACGCACCTGCCTCGGGCATCATGGTGTGAAGCCTGTCAGGCAGCAAAGAGTCGGGAGGACAACTTTGACGAAAGTACGGAGAAGCCTCAGCGACCAGTGTTTAGTTTGGACTTTATGTTCACAGGAACCCAAGGAGAAGAAGGAGAAAAAGATCCATTAGCAATTCAGCTGGTGGGAGTTGATTCTGAAACGAAGTTTCTTTTGGCCGTCGCAGTGCCAACAAAAGGAGGAGATGCCGTTATCAACCACGCAGTGGCGGAAGTCACACGAGTTCTTGCACTGTTGGGATACAGTGACGTCGTGCTGAGAACAGACACAGAACCTGCAATGCTTGCCATTCGGAAAGGAGTTCAAGCCGTGCGAGCAAGACATGACTTGAAGACGGAGCTACAAGATAGCGCTCCAGGCGAGCACCAAGGACTGACCGTTGAGCGGTATATCCAGACAGTGAGGAAATTGGCGAAGACTTTACTCGCGACCGTAGAGCAAAGAAGTGGAACAAAGATTGGTTCCGATGTCCCACTGTATAGTTGGGCGTTTAGACATGCGGCATGGCTGCAAAATCGGTATCACGTGGGAAGAGATGGACGAACAGCCTTTGAGGCAACTGTGGACAGAACGTACAAAGGGAAGCTTGCACCCTTTGGATCAGCGATCATTGCTAAAGCGTTGCCGAAAGCCCAAGAGAAGGGAGAACCATGGGAAAAAGGAGTGTTCCTTGGAAAGGACTACGCGAGCAACCTCAACTTAGTCGGAACAAGTCGAGGAGTGATCAAAGCAAGAACAATGAGAAGATGTGCAGATGCATATCAGCCCGAGCTATTGCAGATAGCTGTGGGAGCCCCGTGGGATCATCAGCTCAAAACACTGAGACAAAGGAAGAGAAGGGTTTTGCCCTTAGAGGAACCTGAGCTTCCCCCGCTAGAAGCCCCAAGAGAAGGGAAGGAGAAAGAAAGTGAAGCGAGGCCGCAGTCAAGTTCAGGCGGAAACCAGAGTTCAAAGAGTTCCTCGAGTAACAGCCCTCCAGGGTCAGATCCAATGTCTGAAGGAGGAATTGGAAGTGCAGGTGAAGAAAGTGACGAAGACCCCGGAGAAGTGAAAGGAAAGAGAAAAGCTGAAGAGGAGCTGTTCCCAGATGAGACCTCACTGGAAACGTTGAGACAAGAAGCAATGAAAAGAGACACAAGAGAAGCGTTGGAGGATGCAGAAGAGTCGCCAAAGAAAGGTCCGAAGCTGGACGAAGGCACAGGAGAAGTGGAAGAAAGGAGCGGAAAAGCGCCGAAGGTTGGAGAGGCAAGCGGAAGTTCCTCAAGGGTGAGTGCAGAAGTGGTTCACTACCACATTAGAAGATTTGAAAAGAGTGAAGAGCCTGAGGAACACGGAGATGAGCTCCTTGATCTGGAAGAGACAAAGATGTTCCTTGAAGAGACAAAAGAGTGGCAAGAAAAATGGAGTGAGAAGACCGAGGAGTCAAGCGAAGACTTACGAATGACATGGTCCCATGAGTATGACGATGGGCCACCAAAGCTCGACAGAGAGGACTTGGAAAAGGTCGATGCGAAATCCGAAAGAACTGAGATAGAGAGACTCTTGGAAATGAAAGTGCTCACAGAAGCTGTGCTTGATGAAAAAGGAGAGCCAGTGCCCACGCCAGAAGGTAAAGCGCCAAAGCAGTTGAGCACGAAGTACGTCCTAGACTGGAGACACAGGCAGGGCCAGTGGAAAAGACGTGCAAGGTTGGTTGCACGAGAATACCGTTGGTTGACGGATTATGACCTCACAGCCCTGTACTCCCCGACGAGCATAAGCTCAAGCATTAAATTGCTTTCTGCACTTTGTGCAAGTTCACCAGACTATGAGATGATCTCGATTGACATCTCTGACGCGTATCTTCAGGTACCCCAGAAGGAGTACACAGTGGTTAGCCTGGGAGGAAAATGGTACAAGCTGGAGTTTACCTTACCCGGTCAGCGAACCGGAAGCAGTGATTGGTTCGAGCATCTGAGGAAGATCTTGGAAGAAGAGAAAATGACTTCGGATATCGGGTTACCCAGTTTCTTCTACAAGTTACCGAGCGGAAGTGAAGGGGGAACTTTGATGAGCACACATGTGGATGATCTGGAAGTGTTCGGAAAGCCCGAAGAGAACAATGCAGTGGTTTCACTGCTGCTGAAACACAAGTTGAAAATCAAGCTGGAAGGACCAGTAAAAGTTGGAGAAGGCAAGTGTACCTTCTTGAAGCGAACTTTCCTCGGGATACCCGGAGGAATTGAGATCCGGATGGACGGAAAGTATCTGGAGAGATTGGAAGAGCTTTTAGGGCTCGGAAAAGCACATCCAAAGAAACTCCCGTTTCCAACAGACTATGGGAGATCGATGAAAGATGAGACCCCGCTGAACGCGGAAGAGCACCATCTGTATAGGTCTTGTGTGGGGATCCTGTTGTACATGACCCCCGAGCGACCCGACCTAGGGTTTGCGACGAAGTGGCTGTCTGGAAAGTTGGCGACACCGACAAGAGGTGACCTCGCAGTGTTGAGGCATGTGGCAAAGTATGTGAAAGCTACGTCACACTATGTGATCGAACACATGGAGTCGCACCCTGGGAAGAGTTTCCTGGAGAGAAATGAAATCGAAGAAGAAATGCGTTTCGACGAGAAAAGCGGAGACGTGTTTACCGCGAAGAGTTTGATCGAGGTTGTGACCGACGCCGATTGGGCGACTGATAGAGAGACGCGACAATCAACGAGTTGTGCATTGATCTTTGTGAATGGAAATTTGGTCCATTTTCATGCAAGAAAGCAAAAAGCGACAGCTTTGAGCAGCTGCGAAAGCGAATTGGTTGCAGCCGTTGGAGGTTTGAGTGAAGGAGTTTTTCTCCAGAATTTGCTGGAAAGAGTTCTGAAGATCAAGCCGGAAATGAGGATCCACATGGATTCAAGTAGCGCCCGAGCAATCCTCATGAAGAAAGGATTTGGAAGAACGAGGCACGTTGATGCCGGATTGTTGTGGGTTCAACAACTCACCGGACGAGGCCTGAAAGTGAAAGCAATCAAAGGAACCGAAAACCCCTCGGACGTAGGAACAAAGGCGTTGACAAGAAGTTTGGTTGTGAAGTGTTTAGAAAAAATGGGCGTGAGAACAGGAGAAGAAAGCAGGGAGCCCAAAGGAGCCTCGGAGTTCAAGATCCCGAAGAAGTACCTGAGGAGAATCGTGATGATGTTAATGGTTCAAGGAAGTGAAGGGTTGAAAAGTGAAAAGAAAGAGTTGAGTTTTGGATTTTACATGTTCACGGGAATCATGGTCATGATGTTGCTTTTCATGGTTTGTAGTCCGGTGCTTGGAGAGTACGCTAGAGAGAAGTTGTGCGTGTCCGCAGCCGTTTTCAGCTCAAGCAAAAGAGAAGGCCAGGTGGAAAAGAAAAAGAGAGAAAAAGAAAAGATGGAGGCCCAGCCAAGCGCTTTAGAAGCGACCGAAGAGGCGGCAGTGAAAGCTCACGAGGCAGCCCTCAAGGAGATGATTATGAACGCAAGATCCCTTGAGGCAGTTGAGCTTTTGAACAAAGCTTTAAAGCTCTGCCGCTCGGGGCCAAGAGAGAACCTGGTGTTGCTTGGGGAAAAGGTGAAAGAGTTGGATGAGAAGTATGGAGTTAAAGAGAAACCTGGAAGCAGCGCTGGAAGCGAGGAGAAAGAAGTCGAAAAGAGAAAGGTCGAGCTGCTAGAGCTCCAGGAAGCAGCAAAGAAGAGAAGGAAAGGGATCTTCGACAAGAAAGAAGAGAAGCAGCCAGAAGAGAAAGAGAGTCTGGAAGAAGAGTCCGACGAGGAGTCCCAAGAGAAAAGCGAAGAGAAGCAGCCAAAAGAGAAAGAGAAAAAGGAAGAAGAGTCCGACGAGGAGTCCCAAGAGAAGAAAGATGGAGGTGAAAAAGAAGAGACCTCGAGCGAGGAGGAAGATGTACAAGAGATTCTCAAGGAGACAGCGAAGAAAGAGGTGCTCGAAGAAGAGAAAAATGTGAAAGAGCTCTTGGGGAAAATGACGGAGAAAAAGGAGAAGCTGGATGAGGCCCGAAGAGCGTTTGCCTCGACCTCGGAAAGGTACGAGGAGGCGAAGGTGTACCGAGCGGTCAAGGTACGAGAAAAAGAGAATTTGTCCGAGCTGTGGGACAAGTTGGAGGATGAGTTGGAAAAGAGCAAGAAGGATTGTGAAGCGATTGAAGCCCAAGCTGATGAGATTTTGGAGCATGAAGAAGAGTTGGAAAAGGAGATGGATGAGTTGAGGCCAAAGCTGGCCGAAGCGTTGCGAGAGCTGGGTGAAAAGAGAAAAGAGTTTCGAAAGTACGAGAAGGAAGAAAGGCCGCCGCTTTTGAACCCAAAGGTGGACGTCGCAATCAAGGAAGAGCTCATGGATTTGCGATTGGGAAAGCAGAAGGTGGAAATTGAGCTTCAGGAAGTTCAAGAGCAAAACGAGAAGCTCAAGAAGAAAAAGGAAGAGAACGAGAAAGAGATGGAAGCGATGAAAGGAGAATTGGAGATGCTCCGAAAGAGGAAGCGTGAAAGCGTTGGATCCATGGATGAAGAGAAAGCGAAGAGCATGAAAGAGGAGAATAAAACCTTGAAGAAGAGCATCAAAGGTTTGTCGGAGACCAACAAGAAGTTGGAAAGTGACTTCCAGAAGTTGAAAAACGAGAAAGGACAGGAGAACCTGGAAGGGAAGTTCGTTTTGAACATCGAAGAAGAGACCGACGAGGAGGAAGACAAAAAGAAGAAGCTTTGCATTCTGTGTTCCCGACACGGCCACAGCTACATGATGTGTTGGGACGCAGGGTATTCCTACGACAAGAATGGGAAATACACCCCGTGGTTGAATGTGAAGAACGAGGATGGAACGGAGAGAACAAAGGCCCAGTTCAGGAAGTACTTTCGTGAAAACGAAAAGGAGATTAGGGCCGAGTACGCAAAGTTGCTTGACGAGAACAAGAAGAAGTTCAGAAAAGGAGATGGAAAAGGAAAAGGGAAGAAGCCCAAAGAGGAAGGTGAAAAGAAGAAGTGAAGCCCTGAGGGGGCTTGGAAGAGAAAGATGTCCGAAATGACAATAAACTAAAGGTGCAAGATCGCACCTATAGACGAAGTCTTGAAAAAGCCGTCTGTGTATGTGTTTGAAGAGAAGTGAGAGAGGCTACCAGTAGCAGCGTAGTTTCTTCGTTTCACGTTTCACACCAACAAAAGAAGTGTGCACCACGATGTGTTTAAAGGAAAAGGATGACCGAAGTGAGCGATGAGGAGTTTGCATCCGAGTGAACTTAATTGCGATGAGAAGTGTGAGGCAATGAAGTGTAACTCGGAGAGGGGGTAACAAACTTTTCGGTTAGCCATGTGCCCCCCTGTAGAAGTATTTTTCCTTGTCGTTTCACTGCTGCCAACAAGGCTCAAGGGACTACTGAACAGACCGTGTCCCAGCAAAAGTGCCCGCTAGTGGTTTCAAGTTCAAGGGTCTGGAACGAACCCTAAATCGTTTTACATGAGCATCAAGGAGTGGATCAAGGAGATTCATCCGAAGGTGGACGTCACCATGTTGATCGACAACCTGGCGGCACTGGGGCTCGCGTCAAGTTCCCCGGGGAGCTGGAAGACACGTCACCTTAGGATACGGGCGCGATTCCTGCGCCAGGAAACAGCGTCGGGGCGTCTGGAGCTGAAGCACTCCCCGGGGGAAGTGCAGGCGGCGGACATGGGAACGAAGGCAGTTCCTGCACCACGGCTGCGTGATCTTCGTGTTCTTTGGAAGATGATGACAGTTGGAGAGTTCCTGGAGGGCCCGAAGGAGGTGATCCTGAACGGGGTCAAACTGCCGGAGTCGGAGGTTCGCTTCAACCAGATGAGGATCATGATGATGTTGGTGGTGTGTGCCTTGGTTAAGGGCACGCAAGGGGCAGAGCTGTCCCAGGAGCCCAAGAAGGACCCTTTGCCCTACGACGCTGGAATCGAGTTCTATGGCTTGATGGTGCTTTGTGGTGTGGCGATGATTGGAATCTGGGAGGTGATGAAGTGGTGCCTTGGAAGATGCTGTGGTAGTGATGAGGCTACAGTCCGAAGGGCCCGGAGACTTCTGCGAATCCGAGATCAGACAGCGAGAGCCCTTCAAGAGGAGCTGATGGGATTGCGGGCGGAAGAGGTGCAGTCCTCGCCTCCTGTGAGTCAGGGTTCTCCTGTGGCTATGTCATCGTCGTCGTCAGCTACTGCGCCAACTACACGATTGGTGGAAAATGTGGAGCCAGCTCGGACAACCACGGCGGTTGCCGAGGAAACACAAGTGGGCCAAGTGCCCGACCCGCCTCGTACGAGGCAGAGCCCCGAGTACGACTTCGAGCTCTTCACAGGTGTCTTCTACAAGTCTGAACATGGAGAAAAGGTGCACTTGTTCCACTGCCGTGGAATGAGGGAGGTCCGGTCGCGCGTAACGGAGTACAAGGTGTGTTCTCATTGTTTGGAGCGCTACCCCTTGTACTACCGTAGACCCTTCAATGATGCTCTGCTACGCCGACATGATGGACATTGAGCACCCCGAGTAAGACACCTAGTGGGCAGCGAGCCCACAAGGCGAGGAGGAGTGCTGGTGTGCTCACGTTTTTCCAGGAAGAGAGAGAAGTACATGTCGCTGTGAAGCGGTCCAAGCCCGGTGAAGGGCAAAACGAGGCCCGTGAAGGGCAAAGAAGCACATGGCCCGGAGTGGGCACGCAACACAGTTTTTTTCATGTACAAGGCATCGCAGGTATAGCACCTGAACGAGTAAGGCCAAGGATTTCGTGTCGTTGCTGTTGTGGAAGGAAAAATTCGAGTGAACTCTGTGAGCCATGGCCAACCCCTCAGACTCCATGCCTCCTGGGACCTCCGACCAGGACTAAACCCTAAACCCTAAACCCTAATTTAGGGTTTAGTAAACCCTAAACCCTAAACCCTAAACCCTAAACCGGCTCGATTGGTGAGGGGCTTAGCTGATGAGTCATCGGACATTTGGCACATGACGCTATGTGACCCTCAGGGTGCGTGACCGGGGTCCTGGCCTAAGTTCCCTATATAGGAGTTTAGGGTTTAGGGTTTAGGGTTTAGGGTTTGGGGTTTGGGGTTTGGGGTTTCGGGGTTTAGGGTTTAAGGTACTGTAAGGCCCAAGTACTCCCTGTTCAGGTACATGGACCCTTCTCTATAGGCTTTAAGGTCTATCAGGCCCACCACGTTCCGAGTTCCACCGCAAACACCCCAACACTCGGGAGCCATGAGGTGAAATTCCGCTAAGGTTGAGGTAGGGTTTAGGGCTAAGGGCTTAGGGCTTAGGGCTTCGGGTTTAGGGTTCAGGGTTGGGGTTTAGGGTTTAGAGGGTTCGGGTTTAAGCTCCTCGTGCTGCATGCTGATAGCTGCCGATATCGCATTGCTACTTCTTTCGCTCTCAAGGTTGGCCTTTGCACCGCAGCCCGTCACGTCTAGCGCCTGCAAGAGCTGTGGAACCAACTGGAATTGAAATGAGGTGAGACTCTGCTTTCACATAAGTCTGGTTGAATATCTCCCGGTTTTCCTTATCATGTCGAGCCATGTCTCTGCCGGGTGATCTAAAATGAAGTTCCGCAACGTCTTGTTCATGGCCGCGGCCACATTGGCAGCTTTTGGTTTCATCATTGCGTCCTGGCTTCCGTCGCATGGCGGATTGTTGCCGACTTTGCGCAACCGTGAGAAGCTGATGGAGATGTCCAGCGGGCTGCACGCGCGGAAAGACCGGGGATGGAAAGACCCGGAACAGAAAGACCCCCAACAAGCGCTGCACACACCACCCAGGACATTGGAAGAGGACTGGAAGCGAGCCCCATTACACCAGGAGCTGCTAGAATCCATTTATGCGGTGACTCCGAGTGATCTCACCGCTGAGTGCATGAGCAAGTTCCAGGTATGCGGCCGCTGTGGGAAAAGTGGAAAATTGCTGCAAGTTGGCCCTGGCATTGGCATTTGTCCAGAAGTCCTGGAGCAGACAGAGCGAATCCTTTTATTCGGCGCCAAAGCATGGACAGAATTTGGTTCGAGCTTGGCAGAGGCAGGGTTGCATTGGCCTGGATCTGTCACAGTGCACGACTGCTTCGTGCCGGAAAGCAGCATAAGATGTCCGAAAGGTCGGCCAGAGTGCCGAGTGCAATTCAGGAAGACCTGCTTTTACGACCAGCAGGAAGCTCCATTTCCTCCGGATCTGAACATCAAGATCACACCTGACAACACTGACAAATTGGTGGGCATTTTTGACATTGAGCCATTGGAGTCTCGGGTGCTCTCAGTAGCTTCATCAGCCCGCTTGCGCCAGTATCAAATGCTGGTAGTCAAATTCTTCTGGCTGGAGCAGCAATCAAAGCACCTGCTGTACTTGCAACTGTTGCAGAAGCTGTTGAAGGATTTCTATCTTGTCAGCGTCAGTGCATCTTCATGTCATGGGCGGTGGCATGTGCCATCACACTCCTTGATTATGCCCCGGGTGGTGTGGGCCACTTTTCTGCGCAAAGACCTTGGTGAAAGTACCATTTGCCGGACAGAGATGCAGATGACACAAGAATGTCAGGGCAATTACAGTGGAATCAGTGGGCTTGAGGCGCTCAGCCGATGGTCTTTGACAGCCAAGCAACCTTTAGGTGAACCAGAAGATTTGCTCTTCGAGGTCTACGCGCAGACATATACTCCAGAAAATCCGACTAAGACGAACTACTTGCTTCCTTACAAGGCCGTCTCGTTGGAGCTGCTGAAAACATTTCGGTTGTGCCATGAGTGTAGAAGTGGTTCCGAAGATCTTGAGCGGCTTGGACCAGGTAAGGATGGTGGATACTTGATTTGTAAGGAGGCTGCAGCCACTGCAGGTATGGCCGTGGCGGTGTCAATAGGCATCCGCGGAAGCGATCCGTTTGGAGCTGTGCTGTCCAGTCGATACAACCTGCACGTTCATGGCTTTGACTGCACCGGCCCTTCCTATGGCTGTCCCGGCAATCTCGCTGGATGTAGGTTTACACACCATAGCCAATGTGTTGGCAAGCCGTTTGGCGGCAGACCCGCTTCCATGTTTGTGACTTTCGACGACATCCTGTCAAAGTACGCAAAGGAAGACGAGGACCTCATCCTCAAGATCGATTGTGAAGGCTGTGAGTGGAGCGTTTTGCCTGATGTGCCACTGGCGGTGCTCAGGCGCTTTCGCATGATCATCATGGAAGCACACTGGCTTGAAAAGCAGGAGAGGCATGCAACCTACGCAAAAACTTTTAACCACATCCTAGAAGCCTTTGACCTTGTGCACAGCCACGCCTGCAACGTCTTCGGCGTTTGGACGGTGAATGGCACCGGCTTGGGCATGCCACGGATCGTGGAGCTCCTGTTTGTTCGCAAGGACTACGCTGCTGCCACTGCTTGTACAAACAGCACGTACAGGCACAAGCTGGATGTCAAGATATGCCCAGTCTTGCCTGAGCTGTATGCAGAGTCTTTCCGGCTTCCCATGTGACCCCGAGGGGGGGGTTCTCATCTCAAGCAAGAGTTTCTTCTACGAGGCCATGAGGGCTGTCGTTCTTGCAGTGGCATGTTGAAACATCTCTCCACTGGAAAGAGGGAACATGGGTGGTGGTTTGCGCCTGGTTGGACTTCGCCATGACTATACTCAATAATTAAAGTACCTTCCTTCTCTTTCTTTTATTCCAGCAGCTCCCTGCGCCTCTTTCCTAGTACAGACTAGACTCCAGCCCACGGGCCCCTCCCAAGCTCCTTTTGCCACTTATGATGTTGCATGTCCCATTTGGTTGCGATTGCCATGACCATTGTCTAGGTAGGCCCTTGGGACATTTTATGTTTCCCTTATTGGGGGATAAAGAGGATCCTATTCAGGAACATTTTTTTAGAGGTTTTTTAGGGCCATCCTAGTTGTTGTTGATATGACTTAAAAAACACATACAGGCGTAACATGGCACATATATATATATATAGATATACGTACGGAGAAACTCATCTCCAAACTTCGTCTTCCTGTTGCGATGGCCGTATCGTGACAGCTCCATGGATGTTTGGATCCACTGAAGCTGTTGCCAGACACGACACGGTGTTTACATCTTTCGAAACATTGTAAGCCCCAAAGCAGCCTGAAACCCTAAACCCTAAGCCCTAAGCCCTAAACCCTAAACCCTAAACCCTAAACCCTAAACCCTTACCCCTAAACCCTAAACCCTACACCCTAAACCCTCAAGCCCTAACCCTAAACCCAAGCGCGAAACCTTTGCCAGGCACAAGCTGCAAGGCAAGATCGAGATGAAGGAGCGTTTCGCCCTCAGCTTCCTTGGGACTTCTGGCTAAGTTTGGGCGTTAGGGTTTAGGGTTTAGGGTTTAGGCTTCTAGGGTCTTAGACAACATGTGATAGCTACAATTCTTCCGTGGTTCGAGATTCATGTTCTGCTCGTAGTTGCACCCTAAGCCCTAAACTGCCCTAAACCCCTAAACCCTAAACCCTAAACCCCTCATTCCGAGAAGTCCTCGAGCTCCAGGCATCCTGGCCCGGCAGCGCGCGGAGGAGGAAGAGGCGCAGCGCCGTGAGGCCTTCCCTCGCTGCTTGTTGAGGGGTTTGGGGTTTAGGGTTTAGGTTTTCGGGTTTAGGGTTTAGGGTTTAGGGTTTAGGGTTGAGGGTTTAGAGGCCTTGCAGTCCTTGAGGCTCATGAGGCTTTTGGCAGGTTGTGGGGCGCCTTAGACATTTAAAGGTGGAGATCGTTCAGGGTGAACTCGGCTTGATTAGCGCGCAGTCTTGTTTGGTGGGGAGCCTTGTAGAGGGCTCGTAGATCTGTGGAGTGTGCTTCCCTAAACCCTAAACCCTAAAACCCTAAACCCTAAACCCTAAACCCCAAACCCCCCTACTGGTGTACTTGGGCTGTGCTTTAGGGATGTGCTTCTGTTAGCAATAGCCGAAGCAGGTGTTGTTAGTCTTTGTTGCTCTGTTCTCTGGCTTTGAGAAGGTTTCGGTGTCTGCGTAGAATGCACACCTGCAAGCACAACACCCGTGATTTTCCTTAAGGTTTTTGGGAATCTGCAAGAATCTGCTCAACCTTGGACCACTGCAACCCCAGACCCTCAGCATGGTGTGTAGCTGGTGCTGCGCAGACTTCTTGCCTGCGCTCAACCTCATCCTCAGCACACGACCCCGGAGCCTTGAACCCCTCTCAACCCCTAAACCCTGCCCCCTAAGCTCACAACTCAGAAGCCCTCAACCCCAAACCCTAAAGCTCTAAGTCGTCAACCTGTCACCCCTTGATCCCAGACTCGGCGTTTAGGGGTTCGGGCTTGAGGGCACTTTAGCGACTTTTCGGGTTCGGAGGTTTAGGGTGTAGGGTTTAGGGTTTAGTTTCGGGTTTACTGTTGAGGGTTTATTGTTCGGCCCTTAGCCTCAAGCGCGAGCCTCAAGAAACCCTAAGCCCTGAACCCTGAACCCTAAACCCTAAGCCCTAAACCCTAAACCCTAAACCCTAAACCCTAAGCCCTAAACCCTAAACCCTAAACCCTGAAGTC